ATAAGTATGCGACAACATAACTTATAACATGATCTTCTGCACGTTTAAGAGCTATGTCCCATAACGCAACAGCAGGCAAGCTGTTCTTTACAGCCACCGTTATTCTCTCAACTACGAATGACCAATACCTATTTATATTTCGATAACATGTTCGGTTGTGAACCACATATGTCTCCGAGCCCTATGGTAGTAGTTATATCCATCTCTCGGAAGACTCTTATTAAATCTCATATACGATGTCCATCTTATAGGAGAATTATTTATCTATGTGTATGTCTCATTGTACATATTATTAATTAAAGCCACAGGGCAAAAGGCAGGATGAATATATAAATTTCAAATACAAAACATGATTCAATTAAGACGTATAGGAAATAGGTTCAAGAGACGAAGATTATATAGCCCAGAAATTTATGATGATCAGACAAAAAGTGATTGGGACGCGCGTAAGATGGGCTAAGGCTGTACCGAAGATACGAAGGAAATGTAGTCAAAGGAACGCTGATAGATGATAAAGAAGAGATGGAGATATGTCAGAGCGAGGTATCAGAGAGGTGAGTAGAGGAGTCATGAGAGGATGATGTAGGATGTATTAAGGAGGATTAAGACGCAGCAGGATAGCCAAAAGGTGAGCTGAAGATCGCTATGTCAAGACCGAGACAGTGTGTAGTTGTATTGTCGCAGTATGGCATGTTACTATGGGAATAGGAATGGAAGAGAGTAAAGATAGAGAGATACGAGCATCCTTTGTGTAATGATGGTGAAATTTTATGTTGGATTAATATGGTGTAAATGTAGGATAAGGAGAATTAGGTCAATGGTAGGTAAAGGTGAAGGAATATATAAAATGGGAAAGGTGTACAACGAGCACACAGGCGAACCAAAAAGTATAAGGGAAAGGTGAATGGAGAAGTGGAATAAATGGAGATTAGGTAAATGGAGTAATTAGAAGTGAAGGTAATAGGTAAAGGGAAGGGAAGGGTAGATATAAAGGTTAAGGCATAAGGGTAAGATGGAAGGGATATGAGATTAGGAGGGTGAGGGGAGGGGAAAGTATAATAAATGGAAGGATTAATAAATAAGATAGTGAAACGTAAGTGATAGGTGAGTGGATGGGAAGGGAGAGAAAATGAAGACTAAGGAAGGAAAGGGGGAAAGTAGATAAAAGGGGTGAATGGAGAAAGCAGTGGAAGGTGGTGAATAGGGTGTTGGATATAGGTATAGTGGGAGGCTGATAGTATGAGTAATTGATAAGTAGAAGAATAGAAAAGAGTGAAATAAATAGATGTATTATAACTGTATGATCATGTATATAAGAGTCAATGAGGTAATAGAAAAATGTAAAGTTGAGTAGGGTAGATGGATGGGAGATAGGATGGTGAGAGAAAAATGAGGTAAGATATGGATTGAGAGAGAGAGGAGGAGAAGAGAGAAGATGAGAGAGACGAATGATGAGAGAGGAGATGAGAGAGAGAGATATAGATGATGGGAACGAGAGTATAGAGAGAGAGATATTTTAAACCAGTGTTTAAGAAGAGATTGTGAAAGAGAGAGATTATATTTATACGCGTGTCAGCCATGCATAATGTGGTAAAGGAACCTGTTTTCCTGCCTTACACAAACCAGAAACACAAACACATTTATATCACGCAACAAAGTGTCCGGAACTCTTTCATGCTGGGAGAAAAGAAGAATGGACACTTCCATATCGACTTTCAGGAAAAATTTATTAGGGATGTTGAGGAAAAGATTGATACTGCATACGCCCTAACAAGATCGATGTATGCATTTTGTCCCGGGTCTCAAGTAAGAAGGATATTTCCGATGTTACACGCAATTCAGTTTGCTCTATATATCATATATATAGTATAAGTATTATTTAATAAGATATATATATTATATATATACTATCATAATAGTAATCTATATAATATATATTATATATATATATACTATCTTTCCACAAAAACACATAGATTTGATATCGAAATGTGTTTTTCTTTCCTCTATCGCTTATAGCCCATCCCTGTATTTCTTCATCCCTAAGGGCTACTGATTACGAAGAATTGGAACAATCTTCCAACTGGTGGTGATAAGACTACCCGATTGTTGGTTGCCATCTGAGGATTTTACATCTACAGGAAAGGCAAACGAGAATGTCTGAGAGAGAAACGACGTGTGATCCCCATCTAGGTACGAGAGGACTCACTTGATGGGAGAAAGAGAAAATCAAATAGTTGAATGAGAACCAATCCGATACGATCAATCGATGACCTCCTCCAGAGAGAATTTTGGAGAGAGAGAAAAGAGAGATGATGAGAAACCCGACGATGGAGTGAGGAGAAAGAGTGAGATGAGATGGAAGCGTAGAAGTTGAAGGTGGATGAACAAAGATGGAGAGGAGAAGAGTAGTTGAGATGGAAAGAGACGATCCATTTGTCCGCGAGAGCAAAGAGAGAGAGAGAGAAAGCAGGAGAGACGAGAAAAGAGTGAGGATGAAGAGGAATGAGAAAGACTTGATGATGAGAGAGATGAAATCCAGACCATGACAGAAAGAGAATGAGAGAAAAGAGAAAAAAAAAAAAGAAAGAGAAAAAGAAAGAGAAAAGAAAGAGAGAAAGAGAAAAAAAAGATAAATATTTTTGTGTGACGTGTGTACGTAGAGTATCACATTCGGGTACTTAGGAAAATTGGCATAACGCAGCCACAAGGGATCCTACGACGTTCACAATTATGAGGAGAGGGACAGGTGTCATATGAAGCACTGTGCAGAGTCGCAGGGAGAATTCGTTCTAAAGGTCTTTCATTAGAGGCTTCCGGGCGGATCGCTGCCTGGGTAAGCGAAACATGTCGCTTCAATGTGCCCTGTTACAAGTAGAGCGGGTCCAATTCGCGAGAGCGTCGGAGGGAGCAGGGGGGACCGCGAATCCAAATTACCTGGGGAAAAGTGGGAGGATGGTAGTTTATATCTGTCTTGATACTTGGTAATATCATATTACATATATTATAGATATATATATTTATTAGTATTAGATAGAGGGAAAGAGAGAGAAGGTAGAGAAGAGAGGAAAGAGTGAGGAAAAAAGAGAGAGAGAGGGAAAAGAGAAAGAGAAAGAGAAAGACAGAGAAGAGAAAGAAAGAGAGAGAAAGAAAGAGAGGAAAGAGAGGAGGAAAAAAGAAAGAGAAAAAGAAGAGAGAGAGAAAAGAAAGAAAGAGAGAAAGAGAGAGAGAGAGGGGAGAGAGAGAGAGAGGGAAAAGAGAGAGAGAGGGAAAGAGAGAAAAAAGAAAGAGAGCCAGAAAAGAAAGAGAAAAAAGAGAAAGAAGAGAAAGAAAGAGAGAGAGAAAGATATATCAGCAGGAGAACAAAAAGAAGAAAGAACAAAGGTCAGATGATACTCACACAGCATTTCCCATGACATTCCCCATATTCATCTGTCCTCCGAGCCGTGTGAAATTCACAGCAGAGAGTCTCCCAGGAGCCTGACTTGTTCATCCCTTGAGTCGTCCCTGTGGCTTCTGTGTCCTCTCCTGATCTGCTTTCAGCTTTGCTCTCCGTGGTTTATCCAGGAACATTCCCATTACCTATGTCATTTTCCTTGTCATTTATTCCTTCTTTCTTTCCAGCTGTCGTGGAGAAGAGGTAAGAAAGGAAATCAATGTCCTGACACTAATAAATTGTAATCAGATGTAAACTGACGCACTATTGGAGAGATTCATTTACTTATCCCACATCTCAAATCGTCAAGGCAAAATTACCATGTTTGGAAATTTAGTATACCTTTTCCCTTTTAAAATTTTTAAAGCAAACTTACTTAACAATTTTGGGCTTTTTCTAATGTTAATGTCAGGAATCAAAATGAGCCTTAGCTTGTCCCTGGTCCGACTGCCGGCCCTAGCAGTACCATGTGGCTGAGTGGTAGTAGGCGTCTGCTGGCTTCCTCCACTGCCATTGCTTATGCTACCATTATCGCAGACGTTCAGATCAGTACCCTTGGCTGAGCTGTGGTAAAACTTATTAACATCAGCAAGTTTATTAAACTAGAAATACAAACAGATGTATCTAATCTTGAAAAACACAAAATGAAGAACTAGTAACAGCACATTACTTCTTTCCTGTTGTCATTTTAATAACAAAATAGAGAATAAAATCAATATAGAATAAAAAATATAGTTAAGTTATTTATCTACTCCAATATGGTTATGTGTATAGCCACAGCTTGAAAAATTTACAAATAATCTGTCTCCTTATGACACAGCATGAAGGAACACTATCCGACAAAGTCTGCCTCTCATCCCCCAGATTCCCTCAAAGACTGCAACCACCTTAGAGGAGTGACGCTTTGGGGGAACCATTGTGGTTTCCTGGAGAGTCTGTTGCTTGGAGCTGGACTTGCCTCATCCCACTCACTTGACACTGCACCTCCAGTAAAATCTCTCCAAGAAATAACCCTCCTTACAATAGATCTTCTGTACCATGCTCGTTGGGAAGGCCAGGATCTCTGATCAGTCTCTGCATGTCAGATTTGGAGTGTGCTGCTGCCCAATGTTTGATGCATACTCTGACATTAAAAAAAAAAAAACAGATTTAAAAAAAAAAACATCAATAATAATCAAGGAAGCGAAAGTTCATTATCTAATTAAATTACTTTAATGCACACAACAGAAATGTTATGTGTTTGGTATCTCTACAACTTTCTTTTGTGTCAGTTATTTAATCAACCTACATCTTTTATTGCCTCTGATCCCAGTAATTCATTACTCTTTTAAATTAAAGCCTTGCCTAATTTATATAATATATTACAATTACTCTTTAAATATAACTCTATAATGATATTCTTTACATTAAGGTATTATACTGAAAAAAAAAAAACAGAATAATCTATGACCAAAACCTTCAAGGAAAATCATTTATTAAAAATTATTATATTTCCTTACTAGAGATATAATCCTTTAGAGGATAATGATGGCCTTGGCAGAATCAAACAGTGTTTGCCAGATTTTCAATTTGGTATTTTGTCTTCTGTTTTAAAATTTATCTTCCGTGATCTTGAAATGTGGAACTTTACAAATTCCAACATGACACTGAGGGAGTCCTTGCGTTCACTGTCAGTTAATGCAGTCAGGGGAGATGTCGCCAGATAGGGAGCAATAGTCGCCCCACGCTGCTTTCCTCCATAAGGGTGGAAGACGTAAAGGGAAAAGTCTTCCAGGACTCCTGTGGCACTCAGCCCTCCGATGGTTGCTTGCAGTTTGCTGTCCAATCCAGTCATTGTGCTGTTTATAATAGAAAGTATTCTAGAATCAAAGCATTTAGAGCATATGCAAACTATTCTAATATTAACCAAATTTACTATTGTGATAATATACAAAAATATCTTATTTTAGCAACACCTTCAATCAAGATTTTGAGTACATTAATTTGACATTAAAACAGACAACTCCATTCAAAATACTTTACTTACTTAAAGCAAAGGTGGTGGACTGAACTCACTCCCACTGAGCAGCTGTTAGTCATTGAGTAATGATAACTATGTAATTTCATCTTTTGTTTGATGTGCATCTGTGTTCCCATAGTCTTTATTCACTAAAGTGTGAAACAACTGTTTTTGGCTAAATTTGGAAGGCTGTAGCTCAACATGCAGATGCACATCAAGTATGCCTTCACTATCATCATTTAGCTCACAATTTTTTTACCACACCTCCACAGATAAAGTCAAGAACATAAACTGTTACTTTCAGCTTGGTATACTTATGGCTCACAACAATTACTATCAACATAAACCAAAGATAATTTCTATTTTTATTGTAAAGTGACATTGTGCTCTAAGCACCCTTCCTTCCTTACCCATTCTCAGCTCTCTTGGAAGAAAACACCAAGTTGAGGGATAGAAGCTGCAGAAGACATTCTACACGAGGTACAGGTTGACAAGAATATCTGAAAAGAGAAATATTCCTTAAATATCAAGTTTTCTATTAACATGACTAAATAATGTATGGCAAAAGAAACACAATATCAAATTACATAAACATATTACTTGAAAATAAAAATTCAATTTCAATAACATGTTTTACTAACCTGATAGTTGATGGGCTGCATGTGGAAAAAACAATTACAGGGAATGAAGCATAAACATAGGGAACACTCCACCAGCTGTAGTTGCCTCCTCCACCTACATTGTACACTGGCTCAGGTTCTGTTAAGTGAAAAAGAAGTTTGTGTAATTGCATCATTTCAAGTATGGGAGACATATTTACCACTTGTTTTAATTTTACAGCATATCATATGTAATGAATTGTAACTGAAGAATTATATGATGGCAGAAAACATTTCAGAGAGATATAGCCAGCAGTAATAAACAGATTTTAAGAAAATTATTATTATTTTCTTCTTGTTTCCTTTTTTTCCTTTTTCTCTGACACTTGTAACTTGAAAACTACATAGACAGATGTAAAATCTCTTGCAAGAAAATGGCATGCAAGTGTAGGCAGTAGTTTAAGTTTATGATTAAAATGTAGACTGTTTTTACACATAAATGGTTCTCCATGTCCTGACCTCTACTCTATGTATTGGCTTCAAATTGTCTACTATACTATCTTCACTTGTATACCCTCTATTTCTTCATTGTTATCTCGGTGTATGGAATCATTATGTGATAGTCTTGCATATAATTGGAGTGTGCTATTTTGCAAGACATATGGAATATATGATATTATAAACTATTAAATGAAGCCGAGCTTTTAGTATCATGTGCCAATACCTATTATCAATGATATATAAAATAGCAACACTCATAACCAGAACAGCAAAAGAGCTGAAACCTCACTGATATCACTAAAGGTCATCATACCTGAATAATTGTACTCCATAGTGAGTACTTGTGGGTGAGTCCGATGTAGTGGTTGTTCAGAAAAATGCACAATCTCACTAAACAAAATAAAGTGAACCATATCATTATTTTCCTTAAAACGGCACGCCATTTGAGTTTTTAAAATTAGTTTATGTCTATTAGTTACCCTTTCAGTTTTGAGGTAACAGGGAAACCAGATTGTAAACAGAAATTCTGTGCTAAGATAACCACTTGCCAAGGTAATTCACAAAGATTCAGTTGAGAAGTAAGATGACAATTACTCTCAAGAATGAGCCATCTATTTAATCTCTCTAAATAAAATTAAATGTTAATAATAATTATTTGAAATCAGGCGTTACTCCGGATTCAGTTGATAGAAAATATATTATTCTAATAACGGCATCTTATACATTCTTACAAAAGTGTGAATATATATAATAATACAAAGTGCTCTCATTACTTCTACTCCTAAGCTACATACCAGGGCAATCAATAAACTAGATAGTTTTTTACTAAATTTTTAACAATAGCGTCAGTGGATTTACAATAGAGGGATATTGAGCACTTGAGATGCAGAGAACTTGGTGAGATGATGTGGAATGAGTGTGATGGGACTCGATGTTTAAAGGTAGATGGAGACTCCGAGAGGTTGGACTCCCAAAAATTCTAAAATGTCTGGCCTCACAGTTGGTCCGGCTCTTGTGATACTCTGTAAGGTAAGGCATGTAAGGAGAGAAGCCTCTTCATGCCACTTGTCCCAACAGACTTTTTCCTTGAATGTACTGTCACCTTGGGTGCCCAGCACGACCGTGCTACGGGGCCAGTCGTGGACAGCCACACGGGCTGGCACGCCTTCTCACGTGAGGCCGGGTCCACGACTGTCCTACTGGGTGTCTGCTTGCAGAAGTGAATGTTGTTGTGATTCATAATAGTAGCCCGGCAAGAGAAGTTAAACTGGGCTAAATATGCCTAGGAAGGGCCCCAAGGAGCAAAGAAGATGAAGGGAAGTTTAAGAGAAAAGAGTTAGATGTAATGCCGAAAATAGCTGGCTAACGACATTGCAGTCGGGGCCAGTGTGCACTGAGAAGGCTAGCGAAGAGAGATTAAGAACAGATATAGGGAACCGAGTATCAAGAAGCATGGTGTCAAAGGGAACGGCTGCAGGTGGGAGGAGATAGCATGCAAGAGCTAGTTAACATGACAAGTGTGAGTGAGCTGGATTTCGACGTTGGAGGAGTGATTGCACGGAGATAGTATGAGTTTACCTTCAGCGATCTGCGAGTCGCCAGGAATTAGATACACTGTGTCGAGCTGAGTACTGAAAGTGATGGTGGAGGAGGAGCACGCGGCCGAAGAATTTGTTTGAGGGGAGATATGGATTCGTGTGCGGATGCCGGCCTTGCATTCTTTTATGGCCGGGAATTGAGTGGGCCAGGACTTCCTGGAAGTCTCAGATATAGTGGCGCGCGTGCGCTGGCGCGGGGGGCGTGGGGCGGGGGAACAAGAAAAAGAACCTTCTTTCTTTGTTTCATGCCGCGTGGGATTAAGTGAGAATGGATCAAGTGTATATCATTATTGTGAATCTAATCAGCAAGTGGAGATGATTCTTGAAAAGAAAGAAGTCAGAATGAAAGAAGGCAAGTTACAAATAGTTGTTGGGTGTGTCTAATCCCGAGGGTGAAGGGGGCGTGCGCGAAGCTAAGCCTTTTAGAGGGGCTTTTTTCCTTGAGTTCTCTGTGGTGAGATGCAACGTGTGTAAAGAATTGGCACATTCCAGGAGCTAAAGTGCCATACCCTTACATCCAATCCAGGTCTATACTTGGGTCCTGTGGTTTAACAGTGCCTGAACTACTTGATCCTAGCCCACCTGGAGTAATAGGGCCTATAACATAAAAGAAAGATACAAGAGATATGTTACAAGGGCTGATTCTGCTGCTCGAACTGAATTCTCATTTATTCTCCAGGACGAAATTAGAAAGAGTTCATATAAAGTTTTAAGCAGTTTTCAAATAAAGGTTATCCAACTGAATAACACCAAAATGTAAATGTTTTATGAAAATTACACATATATATTAATCTAGGTAACATTATTTTGTCATCTTAGGATTGCTAGCCTGATCTAGTATAATTTTCCTATAAAGAAATTTCAGTTTAGTTTGCCAATTAAAAATAGTTTAGTAGAAGTCCTTAACCCATAAACTGCATAGTGCCTCTTTTGAGTAGTAGTGAGACCATAATGTGAAGAAAAAGTAAAAATTTTCAAGACCAAAGCTAGGGAAAGACTGATTAATTACAAATGATGAAGGTCTAAATCATTCTGATAGATACATCTATTATAACCAGCAAGAAATAATGGGGTTGTAAACCAATTAGAGCATTTAGGATCACCATTTGAAAATAACGTTTTTAAGAAGCATTGTGCATCAGATGCTTAACTTCTTAAGAGGCATACAGCAGTTTAAGGGTTAATATTTTTCTATCATTTCCCAAATGATTTTTAGATGTAGCCCCAAAATCATTAGAAGATCTGTCTTGAAGATGTTTTTGCCAACTTAGTTTTGATCTATAAAGATGACTGTTACCTGAGCTGTGACTGCTTGAATGACCAGACAAGGGTGCTGTACCAGTTCCCGGAGTGCTGCCGGTGCCACCACCCTCATCATGGGTGATGCCTCTCCCTTCACCCACTTCTGCATTCTGTCCTCCTTCCTGATCTAGCATGGTCACCAGTGCACTCAGACCTCCACAGCTCTTGCTCTCCATGCTGCCTACATTGTCACTGCTGCTGTGGAAGATACCTCCCATTACTTTGATGAGAAGGGAAGAAAGCAAGGAGGAGGAAAGGAAAGAAGAGAAGGGGAGAAGGAAAGAAGGAGAGAAAGAATGAAAGAGAGAGGGAAATAAGGAGAGAAAGAGAGGATAGAGGGTGAGGATAAGAGAAGGAGAGAAAAAAGAAAGGAAAGAAGGAGAGGAGAGAAAGAGAGAAAGTGAGAGGGAGAGTGGGAAACAGGGAGAGAGGGAGAGAGAGATAATCAAATACTGATATAATTAGTGAAAGAGCATGTGAGGCTTGACTTTTAAGTTTAATCAGTAATTTTTTTTGACTTATTGAATTACAGCATATAATAATGAATGTTAACATTATGTGGATTACAGCAAATGGAATCATATCTAATATCATTTAACAACCATTCCTTTTTATCATCATAATTAAAAAGTATGATATGTATACAAACTACAAGATCAAAAAAACCCTTTTTACACAGCATAATTCAGCAAAGAATAAACAAATGGACATAATACTGAAATAGAAATATACCTGAAATTTGTGATAGTGATAGTTTCTGTTTCTGTATCAGATACATTTGTAGGGGTTGGGGTTCTACCATGCCCTGGTGTTGACAGGAACACATCAGAGTTGTCAATTTCATCCGTGGGGTAAGAGTCTGATGAGCCACTTGTGAATGACAAGTGCCGCCTGAGAATGAGATATCAATATGTTCTAAACCATTACATCAAACCAAGATAAAATAACTTGAAGACTGAGGAACAACACTTTAGGGAAAATATCAATATAAAACATGCTCTTGGTTTATAACTAACCTTGAACACCAATAAGACACAAGTCATCTATTAACATTACCCGATAGTCGATCCTTCAACAAATTTTACTTTCTGAGCAGCAGGGTCATTAGTGGAAGCAGTGTGGCAGGGTGAGCTGTCTACACTAATGGAAGCTTGGTCAATGCTCCCCCGACTTCCACAATGCCTGTGGGAAGTTAGACCTGAGTAGCATCCTTAAAAAAAAGCTTGACAACTATGTCTGAGAATTACCTGTTAGCGCAACAGTCACTCTATGAGAGGAATAAACATACAATTAGTATTTACTTCTTACTATCTCTGTAGCGCTACAATATAGTGAAAAAGAAAAAAATTACACACAAAAGTTTTTTTAATCAATACAGCAAAAGTATAGTAAAAATGTAAGATTTCATTAGTCGTCTGGAAAAGTATCAGTCTGTTAATATATTGACTCTCATACAAACCTTCACTATGTATGTAGGAATATTTTCTTTCCTGGCATTCTGTTGTTCAATTACTGAACAATACATTGATAAATACTGCATTCTTTGGTTTATCAAAGAAAGCATTTTCATTTTCAAGTTCTGGGTAACTTAGAGTAATTGTTATATAAGCCTTCTCTCTTCTTAGCCATATATAATTGTAAAATACCCTGACCCAGGTTACAGAAAGATGTTGGAAAAGCAATAGCATCTTGGCAATGAAAGCTGGAGCTTTTTTGTCAATGGTTTCGGTGAAACCAGTGGCAGGTAGAATTACTCATCAAGCACTGTTAGGTATCAAAATTCTAGGGGCTTGTTGGTAGCTATTAGCATCCTAAAATCATCATGAAATGTCTATCGAACATAATAAATTTAGGCAAGTCCAAGAGACGCTACAAATAGGGACAACTGGAGACAATGATTAGCCTTCTGACCTCCAAGAATGCAATCTTTTCATATTCTCATCTCATACATTACAAATCACCCATCCAATTCAAATATACCCCTACACTTGTCTAAAGCATTTATCTTATCTTGCTATTTCAATTATATATTCTCAAATACCTAAATAATCTAAAGCTGACCATTACTGTATTCACCATTAAATTTTCATTCCGTCTTAAGTGTCTCTACAAATTTTTGTAGATATGCATATACAATCATGATTCTTATGACTGAAATTAACAGTAATCTAATCACACAAAGATGCAAATCATGTCCTTACACAGGTTCCTTGACCTCTATGGTTGGTGAGGGAACCTTAAAGCTCTTGGACCTGAGATGAGACTTGGGGCCCAGGCCAAGACGGTCCTTCATTGAAGTTGCCTTTACACTCTGTCTCCGTAACTTCTTGATCACATCGCGACGGAAATCATGGAAGACGACTGCTTCCAGATCCTGCAGGCGTCGCATTTCTTGCTCGATCGTAGAGGCTGATGCACCTAACATCTTCAGGTCATTGACTGTCTTTGCTTGTTCATTCATTTCTATCTCCAGAAGCTTGGCTCGCTGCCTGGCATCAAGGTTAGGGTCAAATATGAAAGCTGGGAGGCTTTCATTAAGTGCTATCTGCCTTCTTCCTGAAGCTGATTCTTGCTGTAATATCAGATTTAGAATTAATTGACACAGTATGCAAGGAGGAAAGGACCCATGTCTTGAAAAGCTGTGATTATTACAATTATATCAAGCTAATCCAAATAGTTGAACAATACTCTACAAGTAATTAATTCCATTTAATTCATCACTGAATTTAGTGAAGCATAAACTACTTCCTGTTCTTCACAATTTTGTAACCTAAAGTGTTCTGAAATATTGTAAAATCACATACAAGAGTGATAAAAAGTTAGATTAAGAATACTAAGCTGGCTTTAGCAAGGAAAAATAAAATCTGTGAAAAGAGAAAATATTCACATAAACATTACTATAATGATATCAGATAGGATGGTATCACAGACCTAAACTTCCAAACTTTCTCAAGATATTTCCTTCATTATCTTTAGTCAATTCTATCACTTTAACTTTTTAGGGGTGGGGTGGGGTGGGGGGGACAAAAGGCAAAAAGGGAACTTTCCAAACCTGTGACGAAGAATGGTCAGTGTGGTCATCATCATCATCAGAATCATAACTAGACTGGGGTATGGCTGTATCTGGGGCACCTGTCAACATGGTTAGCGTGCGAGCCAAAGCACTCAAATGCTTCCCTATGTTGACATCTAGATGAAGGTCAACTCCTTCCATCTGCCACATGACATTCAGAAGCCACTTAGCATTCTCTGCTATTGGAAGAAAGGAAAAGCATGCTTAGGACTATCAGTAAACCTATGCACAAAATCTTTACAAAAAAAAGTATTATAAAATGCATACAATGAGTTATACAGATTAATATAATTTTTTTCCCTAATATATTGGTTAGTTGGAGAAAATGTTCTACCTTTTTCTGGGTGTCCAGCAACAGTGCGGCTGCACACTTCATATGTGCCCTCAGATACAGTGCACAAGTTGATTGTTGGATCCTTGAAATCAGGTTTCCAATCATCAAGGCTTGTCTCAAACTCTGGTGCAAACCGCATACAGAATCCTTTGAAGCGAGCCTTACATACCAAAGAGCCAGAGTTACAGGCAGATATTATGGTGCTTTCAAGTGTCACCACGAGAGCATCTCGTGTCTCTGTTGAATCAACTTGATGGCTTACCTGCAAACAAAACAATCTATTCAGTACTGAATATTGATGTTTATCTTACCAATTTCTAATAAAAAACAGGAATTACTGATATATAACCATACACTATATGCATCACATAAACTAGTAGCTATCTCTTTTAATATTTGCCCATATTCTTTAGAATCCTTACAAACTTACAGTGCGACATGGGTTGAGTGGAAGGCATATACCAATGTCATCTACTGTCAGCTGTAGATACACATTGTTCTTTATGTGTGCTGCTGACGAGAGGGAGGAAAACTGTGGAACTTTCTCAAAGACCTGCTGTGTGGCTGTCAATACCTCCTGTTTTTAAATAAATTATTTTTCTTTGTCATTGTTCATAGAAAGAAGAATTTCCTTAATACAAGTATTTTCCACATTTCATATATTCCCAATCTTTTATCATTTCTGCAATAACAATCAACAACAATCTACTTTGCAACTGTCTAGTACAGATACAGATCTAAATATAAAAAGTCTAAGATCAATTGAAAGCATTAGGCACAATATAAAACCCAAATTAAATATTTGCTAAAAGCAAAACAGTAAATCCTATAATATAATACAATTCAAAATAATAAAATATACATATATAATAAATCAATGGCATTACCTTATTTAGAGAAGCCCGTTGTTCACTCCAATATTCATAAGCATTCTTGTAGTTCAGCCAAACAAGGACAGCCCTGTCCACAGCTAGAGGCTGAACACAGACTAGAGGTCGAGTGAGGGTAATGAGCACAACTTCACCATCGTCACCTACGCTCATCATCTCATTATAGAGAGCATTCCTTAAATCTGTAATTTACAATAATAATGTCCAATTCAAATTCAGCAATTTTTATGCATGTGAACATGTGTGTGTGTGCGTGAGTATGCGTGTGTGTGCATGTGTGTGCATGTGTGTGTGTGTGCGCGTGTGTGCATGTGTGTGCGCGTGTGTGCATGTGTGTGCGCGTGTGTGCATGTGTGTGCGTGTGTGCGCGCGTATGTGTGCGTGTGTGTGCGCGTATGCGCGTGTGCATGCGTGTGTTCATGTGTGCATGCATGTGTTCGTGTGCATGTGTGTGTTCGTGTGCATGTGTGTGTTCGTGTGCGCCGTGTGCATGTGTGTGTTCATGTGAGCATGTGTGTGCATGTGCGTGTGTGCATGTGTGTGTTCATGTGAGCATGTGTGTGCATGTGCGTGTGTGCATGTGCGTGTGTGCATGTGCGTGTGTGCACTTGCGTGTGTGCAGGTGCGTGTGTGCAGGTGTGTGTGTGCAGGTGCGTGTGTGCAGGTGCGCGTGTGCAAGTGCGCGTGTGCATGTGCACGTGTGCATGTGCACGTGTGCATGTGCACGTGTGCATGTGCACGTGTGCATGCTTGTGTACATGCCCGTGCGCGTGTGGGTATGAGAATGGATGTGGGTGTGGGTGTGGGTGTGGGTGTGGGTATGGGTGTAGGTGTGAGTGTAGGTATGGGTGTAGGTGTGAGCGTAGGTATGGGTGTAGGTGTGAGTGTAGTGTAGGTATGGGTGTAGGTGTGAGTGTAGGTATGGTGTGTGATGTAGGTATGGGTGTAAGTGTGGATGTAAGTGTGGGTGTAAGTGTGGGTGTAAGTGTGGGTGTAGCTGTGGGTGTAGCTGTGGGTGTAGGTGTAGGTGTGAGTGTAGGTGTGGGTGTAGGTGTGGGTGTAGGTGTGGGTGTAGGTGTGGGTGTGTAGGTGTAGGTGTGGGTGTAGGTATGGGTGTGTATGGGTGTAGGTGTGGGTGTAGGTGTGGGTGTGGGTGTAGGTGTGGGTGTAAGTGTGGGTGTAGGTATGGTTGTAGGAGTGGGTGTAGGTATGGGTGTGTAGGTGTAGGTGTGGGTGTAGGTATGGGTCTAGGTGTGGGTGTAGGTATGGGTGTAGGTGTGGGTGTAGGTATGGGTCTAAGTGTGGGTGTAGGTATGGGTCTAGGTGTGGGTGTAGGTATGGGTGTAGATATGGGTCTAGGTGTGGGTGTAGGTATGGGTCTAGGTGTGGGTATAGGTGTGGGTATAGGTATGGGTATAGGTGTGGGTGTAGGTATGGATGTAGATATGGGTCTAGGTGTGGGTGTAGGTATGGGTGTAGGTGTGGGTGTAGGTGTGGGTGTAGGTGTGGGGTGTAGGTGTGGTGTAGGTGTGGGTGTAGGTGTGGGTGTAGGTATGGGTGTAGGTATAGGTGTAGGTATGGGTGTAGGTATGGGTGTAGGTATGGGTGTAGGCATGGGTGTAGGTGTGGGTGTAGTTTGGGTGTGGGTATAGGGTGGGTGTGAGTGTAGGTAGGTATGCACATGTATGTGCACATACATATTTGTGAATGTGGATATTATATGCATATATGGGTAGGTGGTAGGGGACTGGTGAATGGGTGGGATGGATGGGTGTGAGGTATGTGGAGAGACATTTATCAAATATATTTAAATTTCAGTCAGTTCTTTTTTATGCTCCCTCAGTGTATGCAAAAAAATATCAAAAGAAATCTCTCTCTAGAAAATTAATGTATTTTTAACAATTAAACAAAAGAGCACACACTTACAAATTCTGGTGCGGAAGAATGCCAGCTGTTGGAACTCTGGTTCAGCTTCTTCAAACATGTCATTCCTTAGGAGTTGGCCCAGGGCTAAATTGATGTCCACCTGAGCCGTTGAGAATATTAAGCAAGGGGTCATGATCTATTATTCATGAGAACACAAAGTAATAGGGAAATTCTTTACTTCATCATAAAATCATGAAATAACATAAAAAAAATACATACATATATGTGTTAATGAACATGAGAAATAGGTAAATCAAACTAAACCCTGATAACCTATTTCAATAACTTAAAGTGTAATGATACTGAAAGGAAATGATAGGAATATTTTCTCATTTCACCTAAAAAAAAATTATTTATAATCATAACACAAACTAAAACCACTCAGTCTCAGTAATAACCACTAACATAAATGATACAAACGCATCAACTTTAATGGGTTGTGTGGAGATAGATGTTATATATCTGTAACCTCGTGAAAAAGCTTTATTCCATATCAAATGCATGTGATAAAATCAAATTATATAAAGCCTAGGGGTATATATCAATAACAATAATATAGCTCACAAATAAAAATAATTTTAACATACAAAAATAATAACTATACATTATCAATACCTAAAACAAAGCAGAAGAAGCTATTGTGTTAAAATAATTAAAATGTGAAAAAATAATATAAATGTACTTCTAGGCAAAATACACTCCTAAAGATGGTGTTTATCCGCCCTTTGTTAAGTCAGGATTAGATTCTACAGACACCAGAATAGCGACATTTGGGATCAGATGCTCAACCTGTAATTCAAAGCAAGGGCATCTTAAATGAACTGACCTGAGCCTTTCCAAAAATCTTCATTGGCTGTGATGGGTCAGAGAATGTATGGCTCGGACGGCTAATGTTCTCCACTCGATTGCTCAGCTGCAATTCAACAACCCCTGTTTCTAACCTCACAGCAGACTGGGTTGGAGTTGTGGCTGTGATGATAATACCCTGGGCAAAAGATAAATAAATATGAGTAAACAAAAAATGCATTAGCTAACATATATATCTTTGCCCATATACATATGTGAGTTTTTTTTTTTTTTTTTGTGTGTGTGTGTGTGTGTGTGTGTGTGTGTGTGTGTGTGTGTGTGTGTGTGTGTGTGTGTGTGTGTGTGTGTGTGTGTGTGTGTGTGTGTGTGTGTGTGTGTGTGTGTGTGTGTGTGTGTGTGTATTTGTGTGTGTGTGTGTGTATTTGTGTGTGTTTGTGTGTGTTTGTGTGTGTTTGTGTGTGTATGTATGTGTATGTGTGTGTGTGTGTGTGTGTGTGTGTGTGTGTGTGTGTGTGTGTGTGTGTGTGTGTGTGTGTGTGTGTGTGTGTGTGTGTGTGTGTGTGTGTGTGTGTGTGTATGTATGTGTGTGTGTGTATGTGTGTGTGTATGTGTGTGTGTATGTGTGTGTGTGTGTGTGTGTGTGTGTGTGTGTGTGTGTATGTGTGTGTGTATGTGTATGTGTATGTGTATGTGTATGTGTATGTGTATGTGTATGTGTATGTGTAAGTGTAAGTGTATGTGTATGTGTATGTGTATGTGTATGTGTATGTGTATGTGTATGTGTATGCATGTCTGTACATCTGTATGTCTGTATGTCTGTATGTGTGTATGTGTGAATGTGTGAATGTGTGTATGTGTGTATGTGTGCTTGTGTGTATGTCAATATCCATCTGTCCGTCTGTTCGTCTGTTCATCCATCCACTTATCCATCTATCCATCTATCCGTCCATCTGTTCATCCATCCATTAGTCCATCTATCTATCTGTCTGTTCATCAGTCTGTCTACACATATATCATGTACTGAATATGTTGAGAAAGATCCCTTTTTCAATTACTATTACTTTTTTGTAATTTGAGTGATACACATACCAGTCATCCATCAACTTCAGAACTTTCAAAAAAATCTTCATCTAAGAGTTCTTGAAATTTGAACACTGGTAGCAAATCATATGGAGTTCGAGAGTGGTAACTAGGAGCTAGGGTAAGTTCAAATTTCTGACAATTTAGGTAGCACCTTAGAATAGCATTCCTAATAAATAAAGTCAGTTTAGCCAAAAACCTTACAGGAAAAAGAAATCACCCGTAAATCAAGATTTGTTTTCAAAATGGCAGAAAATTGTAAACACCAAAAAGATTAAGAATAACTCCTGAACTGTATCTTAAAACTTCTTACTTTCAGTCGCAGCTGCAGGGTGAAGAGCAAGCGACGAGGTTGTGTAACATGGCTTGGTCCCTCCTCAGTCCACAGAGGCACTGGTTTGTCTCCTCCAGCCATTTTCTGCACAACTTCATTAACTTCCTGTGCCACAAATTAACTACTTTTACTAAACAAATAAATCTACAAATGCCATGTTCATAACGGATTAAAAAGTAAAAATGTAGTTGAAAATATTTCAATATTCATAATTCAAAGAAACCACTAAATACTGGCATTACATACAGATGTAGGGATATATAATAAAAATAAAGGCAATCATCCTGACCTTCATAAACACTTTCTGCACAAAGACCAGGTGATTCAGTAGGTCTGTGGTCAGGCTGTGCTCCAGGGCACCAATCTCTGCTACAGCACTGAGGTAGCTTCCCTCACGTAACACCATCCCATCTGCTGCTATAAGTTGGGAGAAAAAGCAAATGACAACAGAAGTTTGATAGCATAATAAATAACACATCTTCAAAAATGCTGAGTGTTCATTTATTACATCAAATGGAAAGAAATCAATTACGCAAAGCCTGTGGTAACTATCACATTATTCAAAGGAGATGGCCGATCCCACATTTATTTTGCCAAAATCTATTTTTCAGTATGATTGAATAATTTTCATTACAAAAATAAAATTCATATGAAATCTTCTTTAACCCATTGAATCAGGGTTACATGCCTCACTTTATAAAATAAGTTTAGCCGAAGGCCAGGGGTCCGGAAAATACTGTCATGGGAAAATTTGGCTGAGGTCCAAGGTAAGTGGCATAAGCCCCCATGAAAAATTCTGTTGTAGGCTAGGGTAACAAGAAAGAGCTGTCATAAACAATTCCGCTGAAGGCCGCTATGACAGGAATGACTCACCACGAGTGCACAAAGCTTTTGAGGATTCAGTGGGTATTATTTCATTATTTCCACTGGTACACAAGGGGGGGCTTGTACCATAAATGAGCAATGGCTAGAAAAATGACAGCTCCAAGAATACTATTTCCATAGTCAAGGTCCTATTCCTCATATATGAAAAAATTATGCAAATAACAAATTGTTCCTTATTGTTATTGTTATTGCAGAAAGTTGCAGACTACCTGGAGAAATAATAGGGAGTCTGTGTAAGGAAAACAGTCTATTACTAATTTGATACAGCATATCAAATGACAAATAAACACTTTTGAAAATGTCAAAAGAGCAAAAAAGCTTATGCAAAAAAAGACATAACATCATTGCACAGGAGAGGCAAAGAATCTTGACACTGCACACAAGTGTTCATACACACCAGGCCTCCACACCAAGGAAAGTTGCCACTCAAGTAATCCTAATGCCTTATTTTGGTCCAAGTGCAGCTTCTTTTCCAGAACTTAAGCTTGTCAAATGCAGTGGCCTTTTCATTTGAATAGTTGGTAAAAGTTACTTTCTCATATCAAGGGGCATGTTTGACAAAAAATGAAACATTTTCTCAGTTTTGGCCACTAATTTTACATGGTAATGAAGGGTAAACAAAAGAAAAATAGTAAACCCATGTACACATGATAGCATCACATACATGTCACATCCATTGCAATTTTAGTCTATTCATTTTGGGGAAATCACATGAGGTCATGTAAAGACTACTAATTGATTCCTTGGTGTCTGAGTATGTGTGGAGCCATCTGTGTGAAAACAAAACATCAGTGGACTGCACGTTTCCAATAACTATTTGCAGTGTTAATAGTTGATATAACATATATGTACACTTTTGTGTACAACCTTTTTTAAACTTTAAAACTTGTACCTGCATGTTGGTCACTATGCCTGTCATCATCCTGAATAAACTCTGCCTCAACATGTACTTGTGGTAGCTGGATACTGGCTGATGATGGTAGATGAGTTTCACTTGGCTGAAATATATATAAAATATTGTGACTGTGAATTCTGATCAAACTTTTTATTTTCAATGACCTTGTGAACTATCTTTGACAAAACAAATATTTGTAATACACTTAACAAAAGCATAATCAAAATCACTGGCATAAACATTTCCAGTAAAAAAAAAAAATCTTCTGATCTTAATGTAATAAATATAGTATCATATGAATAGCATCAACTTCCATGCAATATTAGAGTTAAATAAGATAT